ACTATCGTGCCTGTGGGCCCCAAATACATGTTAAAAGTTTATTGATAGTTTACCGAGGTTGATAGTTTAGTTGGTATGATAACGGAAGCGTCATGCCTATCTTAAAGTGAAGAGCATATTTGTTATATCTATAGTTTGGGTCCTATTGTTTTCGCCTGGATAACTTAGCTTCACTATATATTGCTTATCGACTTTTCGCGACCATTCAGCGCTGCAAACGTTCTTTAGGGTTTCACGAAAATTCTAAAAGTGTGCCGATTTACAACACCCTTAAATGCTTGAACAAGCTATGATAGCAAGGGGGAATTTCGGTACAAAGGTAAAGGCGGTCGTTGTGTGAATAAACGTCCTATGTGGTAAAAGGGCCGTCGAATTCAATTGTTTAACTGGCGTTGGCATGGCAATAGAGTAGTCATGGTACAACATGCTTCTCATACGTTTCTTCCGTGCACAGCTCACCCTTGAACATCACTGCTTCGTGCGTGCGCACCAAACTAAAACCAAGTTTTTTCAGCAGCTGAATACACCGCGTGTTGCGCGTGTCTGTGGTAGCCTCTATCCTATCGATACTGTGCCTGCTACTGAGACTTCTGATCAACCCCCTGAGTGCTTCGGAGGCATATCCTTTGCCCTGCGACTCTTGTGCGAAGCTGAATCCGACCTCCACGCTGGCCGATGAGGAAGGCAACGGGTGCAGCCCTGATTGGGAAGGCAATAGGTGCAGCACTGGTTGGCAGGGCAATAGGTGCAGCCCTATATCTCCCAATAGTTCATCCGTATCTGCCAAGGCAACTGTATTTAATTGTCACAAGGATTAGCCACACGGCACGGTATAGTACACACAGTGAATGACATAGAGAAAGATACTCGGATTCAACTAAACCTTAAAACCTAAAATCCTAAAACCCTAAGCTCTCCACGAGCATTACGACATTCATAGACGGGCGCTGATAGGATATAATTGATAGGTACACCGGGCCGACAGAGGGCAGTGGAGCCAAGCCTTGACAACCGTTGCTATGTCACAATGTAGGTTAAAGGTGTTTTTGTTGTGGTAGATATATAGTGCACTCCAATCTCCAGCTGTGAATATATATCACAAACAAGAACTGCATCACCGCAACTGACCATACAGGTGCAACAACAGATATATACCATTAACGTACAACAACAGATATATACCATTAACGTACAACAACAGCTGTATATAACAACAGGAAACAAGAACTACACCACCGCAACTGACCATACAGGTGCAACAACAGATATATACCATTAACGTGCAATAACAGATATATACCATTAACGTACAACAACAGGTGTATATAACAACAGGTACAAGTAGTACCAGTAGTGCAAGCCCATACGCAAGAGAATGTCGTCTCGTTCATTTAAATACCCACCACTGAATAGGCGGGCTCTCGTTGAAAGTAGGATTTAGGGTTTAGAGTGTGTGGCTGGTGTGGCTCATTGTACCACTACCGGTTGCAGCACTCCAAGCATTTAAGGACAATTCGATACCCATCGCAATTCACAGTGAACAATACAGACTTCTACGCTTGTGTAGTAGTACACACACATGTATTCATACATACACAAACACACATTCATACATACACACACATATTCATACATACACACACACACACACACATTCATACATACATACACGCACACATACACACACACACATCCATACATACACAAACACAAATCCATATATATACGCACACACATTCATGCATACATACACACACACATCCATACATACACGAATACACATCCATATACACACACACACACATTCATACACACACACGCACATTCATACACACACACGCACATTCATAATAGACTCGGGTTTCTTCAACCAAAGCGTACAAGGCTTCCAGAGACCACAAACAGCCACTGGGCAGTGAAAACACGCACGACACCCACTACCACACAACGAAAAATGCTCACACCGGAAATCTGAAGCCAGCCATCTGGCTGTAGGGTGTGCATAGCCTGCATAGTGCTTATAAAGGCTGTTGCTTGCTGAGTAGTCATGAGATCCCATCCTTGGTACTGAGCCACAACCGCGTCTGAACGGTACGACAGGAATGGGTTCACGTCTGCCGGGTGCATGCGACGCAATACCAACTGGGAAGAAGGGGGTGGGTGCAGTTACTATGCGTGTTGTAGGGTTTAGGGTTTTTGGTGCTTGTCGGTGGTCCTGCCGATCCACACACAGACATGCACATATACGAATATGAAAACACTGAACCTTCACAACGAGTGCCGCTCCTATGCATACAGGAACGAATGGGTAGACACAGCTAGACACAAGCATAGGGTTTTAGGGTTTTAGGGTTTTGGGTGCACGTGCTTCCACGTGTCCAGATACATGCGAGCACCGTGGATTGCATGTTGAAATGTGAGTGTATCACTTCAAGTGTACCTTCCACTGCAATAGCCTTGTTGTGGGTGTGGGTACGGCCCGCATTCTCTTTGCATTTGCACCTATAATTGTTCATTAATTAAATAACAGTGTGATAGTAAACAGGGTATGCACATAGATATATCACGCCACGCACGAACACAATTTAATATAATAGAACACGCAATTTCAATCTTGTATGTTGAAATCTCCTCATGAAAGACATGGACATGTAAGTAAAGCACAAAGTGCAGGTACATGGTATAGATATACAAATTTACATGTATAAATATATGTGTATGTATTTGTATATGTATATATGGATGTATGAACATACGTATGTATGTAAGTTTGTAAGTATTTATATATGTATGTAAAAGTATGTGAGTATGCGTGTATGTATATATATATATCGATTCACACACACACATATATATA